CTGTGATTTTCAGCACTGCAAAAATGTATCATTAAAACTTTTATTTTCAAAGTATTGTTATGTAATGTACAAGCGCCATCTAAATCAGTTGATCATTTATACCAGGCTTAAAAAGTGTGTACGCCTGGCGCGTTTCGTCTACAAAAGAATCATCAGTGATGCTTGGATCACAAAAGTCAAAAATGGCCAAATAAAGTACAAGTTGAAGAGCTTGAAGCACCATTAGCCATTGATAATAATTGCTTTGAAGAAAAGTTGTTCTTCTTTTACTGATTGACCTAAATAACAAAACAGACAAACTAGATCGTTAGTTGGATATTTAGAGTATACTGTTATTACACAGAGGTCAACCAAATATATCATGTCGCCTTTCTTAAACTTAAACAAAAGATGACCTCAACCTTAAAATTAGTATAAAGATAAGCAGAAAAGGTATCATTGCCAATGAGACAAATGTCCACAAGAGACGATATTAATAAGCAACTAAAGGTCACCGCTTTCAACAATGAGCAAAACCTATACAGCTTAGCAAGGTATAAAAGCCGCCAAAATGACATGTAAAACAATTCAAACGAGAACCATTATGGCCTCATTAACGAAAAATTAATATAATATAAAAACAAAGAAGGGCAATCACATGAATTACAAGCATATGACTAGGGTTAAGCGCCTCGTTGTTCATTTGTCAGTAGTAACTTCTATTTAAAAAAATCCCCAAATTTAAAAGATCATTAATATTTATTTTCAAATATCTTTTTATTTATTTTAGGGCAGCAGATATTGGAAACCTTCTCGGATAGGCGTAATTGTCAGAAATTGTTTTACATTTTACATGTCAGTTTATTTATTATAAATATATATATATACCTAAATTCTTCTGTTGATTTTATTTGATATTTTGTTATATGTAAATTGCTTGATATTGGGAGAGACCATAGAGTCAAATGGATTCTCTTCATATTGATAATACCAGAGAGAGAGAGAGAGAGCGAGAGAGAGAGAGAGAGAGAGATTAATCTTCAGTTATCTTTTATCAATTAACCTCGTAGTCTATTACCTCAAAGCCGTAGCCGACTAACGTGAAATGTGTAGATCCAGAAAATACTGTAACCCTGACTTCCATTTTTATTGAAAGTAGACAAAATAATATAAATTTACAGATGATGCAACAATAAACTTCTGTAATTTCTGGGAAATCCATCAGAATTTCTATATCATTTAAAAAACAATGGACCACTGAAAGGAATTGATACTCATTACGACACACAAAAACACAGAATATTCAAATGGTCTTCCAATAAACATTACAATAAAATTCAGCTCCAGTATGTTGTTTGATGGAATGGATGGAGATTAACAGAACACACAATATACACCGAAACACCAGATATAACTTCTAGTTCTAACACTTTTCCTAATCTATACCCAAACACTATCTAATTTCTGATATGAAAAGCATGTAATCAGAATAATCCATAGGTTTGATTTACAATAGCGAGTAATGGTACATATAAGTTTTATTTAAAACATTTCGAAAAAGGAGCATTATTGTGGAACATTAACACTGACGGTTTTTTGCGCGCTTCCTATACAAAAGCCTCACCACTGACGGTCGAATCCCAAGAATTAAAAAAAGAGAAATGAAATACGAAGTTGAAGAGCATTGAGAAGATAACTTATCTTTCATAGAATTCAAAAATACCTAACTAATCCTACATAAATGAATTAAGGTCGGAAATAAGCGACCTCTAGTTTGCTGAATACAGTTTCCGGTGTAAATTGATAGCTAAGTATACACTGATTTCTATAATATATGGTTTCTATATTTTGTCACAAAGTAAGGGAGCTTATTTACAATTTCCGGTTGGAAGTTACAACGACCGATTTGATATAATAGGTTACTGCATATAGATTCCAAATATAATTGGTTGCTAGATGTTTTTACATAAAATTAATGCAAAAAATAGCTATATCATGTTTACAGAAGGTCAGTATTGTAGATTACCTTTCAAGATCATATGTCTTCCAATCTAATTCAAAGGAACCAATTGCTTTATTATGTTTAAATATCAAATTAAAGCAAAGGTCCAAATCTACAACGTCAAATTCATCTTCTATCTTGACCTTAATTCTATGTTCACAAAGCAAGGATCTCATATTCAAAATGTTTAAATAATAAATACCAAACTTAAAGTTAAATTCAAAACCGGAGTAGGTTCATGAAACATGACCAAAATCAAACGTCATATAACGACTATATCAACCAACACATCGAACGGCGAACAACTGTAGGATTACTAACTTGGTACAGGCAATGTCCGAAAAAATGGTGGGTTAACCTGGTTTTATTGATAGGTAAACCTCCTACTTGTATGACAGTTGTTTCTAGTCCCTTTATATTTCCAAAATGGGGAGCAACCGTAACAGACTAAATATGTTAATATGACAATTGTTGGGATTTTGTGTAAACAATCATCACATAAGGTTGATTGGTTTGAACTTTTGATTTTGCCATTAAATAAAGGATTTTCCGTTTTAAATGTTCCTTGGAGTTCGGAATTTTTGCTATTTTACTTATACAACACGATTAACTAAAATGTCCAAACAAACAAACATATAAAGCTTATGAATAAGTCAGCTATTTTGTTTTACTGTAGTTAATAGTAAATCTGACAAAGACGCCAATAATAAAAGTAATTGTAGTTGATAGTACATGCAGGATATAAAAACATAATGCCGTACAGTATACATTTCCTGATAAAGTACGAATTATGTAAAATATAAATACAAGGATAAACAAAATGAAAACAACATTGTATATACCTTATGGGTCCGAATTGCACCTCTGCACCCACTTGCACCAGGAACGCAAAAAGCCAAAAACCCGATTGCTGAATAGACGTAAAAGGACCAAAAAGGAACATTATAGCATAAAAAAAAAAATGATGGGAAAAATGTAATGAAATAAAAAGATAAACATTTGTAGCACCTACAATCCAAAGACCATCTTGTATTATTTGTGAAGGAGACACTGAATATTTATGTATAAGGTCTTGATACTTTCCGATGACCTGTTCAGGAAAATTATGAAACGTGGAGTTTTGTCAATACAAATATCCAAGATCGATCGAAACAATAAATACGTTCTGAAACAAAATATAGCAACAAACAATATATATGTATAAAACAGAAGAAACAAAAATCACCGCTTAACCTAACACAAATTTTAGGGTAAACTAAAGTACTGGAGAACTGAGAGTTCTGCCAACCTTTCACTTTTGATCATTTTTTCTACAAAATGGAAAATTAAAGTATGTCATCAATCTATTTATAAAATAAGTAAGGAACCGGTTCCAACCAGTTTTCATAAAACACCCTAAACCCTAGTGAGAGTTCTGTCCCACTATGCAGAAATGTGTTTTTTTCAAAAAGGAGTGAGAGGGGTTGAAATTGAAAAAAAAGAAGAATAAAAGACATAGGTATAGTAAGTAAAATGAATACGAATGTTGTTGAAACGGTATAACAGTTAAGAAGTATGGCTAAAAATGCTGGTCTTCTAGGTACTCTAGAATGAAGAAAGATGAGCTGGTAGAGTTGATTGAAACAAAGACGGAACAAACATTTAAGCGTATTCCTAAACCAGCGTCATGATCGTTGAAAAGGTTGAAAGGTGTAGGAAGATTACCTATAAATCAACTGTTGACAAAGGTAGGTGAGAAAATCAAGAAAGATCAAGAGTCCATGATTCGGGTACATGAACCCATTAGACCCATAAAAGGTGTATTGACTACCTGGAAAATGACATCGGATGTAGAAATGGACATCCAGACCTTTCTTGAAGTAACACAAGGGAAAAGGATGGACATAAATTAATGTGGTGTTACACTGTATTTTCTTGAAAATCAACCCCACAGGTAAAGAGGACGATGAGAATGAGAGACACTTCAATTCGGGAAATCGAACTATAACCGAAGCCACCGACCTCATTGAAACTTTGAAAGAGATGGACCTAAAGATCGGAAAAAAGATTGCCGAGTGGACTTCTGAGAAGAATGGGTGGACATTGTGAAGGAAATCGTGAAATTACAACTTAACATCAACAAACACACACAGTTATCTGGTTTGCAGTATGTAGATTTACCAAAATGGATCAAAGACAAGACAGCCGTGATTAATGTTCAAAACAAAGATGATAAGTGTTTTAAATGGGCAATACTTGCTGCCGTGCATCATGAGGAGGTAGACCAAACGAAAACACAAAGGGGGACTCAGTACTGTAGATGGAACAATGAACTACACCTAAAAGGATTAGAATTCCCCGTAAGCCTAAAGGATATTAGCAAGTTTGAGAAAATCAACCCTTCCTTGGCAGTCAATGTGTATGGAATCAATGATGACAATGAGAAACACACACTACGATATTCAGATTTTGCTGAAAAGCGGGATAGAGACAATCAATTGTTGCTGATAGAAGGTGAAGGTAAAAGACATAAGTGTTGCATAAAAACATGTCTAGCATGTCTAGACTACTGTCGAATCAGATCTCGGATCATAACGGTAGACTTAAATTTTGCTACAAGTGTCAATGCCACTTCCACAGCAAAGAGGTATTGAAGGAACATAATATAGTATTGCGTAAACCACAAGGCAGTTAAGATCAAGATGCCGGTAAAGGAGCCTACCAAAGCTTTGTGAACCACGCCAGTTCGACGAAAGTTCCTTTCTCGGTTTATGTAGACTTTGAGTGCTTTATCGAAAAAGTAGAATCCAAACCAGTGGAAACCGTTGCAGACAAACCACACACCAGAATGTATCAAAACCATATACCATCGGGATTTTGGTATTACATTAAATGCTTTGATGAAAGTGTCTTTACTAAGGCGCCGGTACTTTATTCTGTGCAAAAAGAAGGAGAAGATGTGGCGCAGATTTTTGTTGAAGGACTTGAGAAAGATATCATAGTCATTTACTCCGAGAATGACTTCAAAAAACCAATGGTGATGACTACGGAAGATAAGAGTGATTTTAAGGCTGCCACACAGTGCTGGCTCTGTGACAACGCTTTAGGAAAGGACAAAGTCAGAGTTCACTGTCACTTCACCGGTAAGTATAGAGACGCAGCGCACAACGAGTGTAACTTGAAGAACAAAGTACCAAAGTTTATATCCGTGTGTTTTCATAATCTAGCTGGGTATGACATTCATCTTTTCATTAAGAATTAATGTGTAACAGAGGGACCAATTACATGTATTCCCAACACCGATGAAAACTACATTTCATTCACCAAAGGTATTCAAGTAAGTGAATACAAAGCAAAGGATGGTAACATGAAACCACTGTACCAATATTTGAAATTTGTATACAGCTTCAAATCTATGAGTACGAGTTTTAGAAAAAAAAGTAAAACCAACCACTCGTGAGGATTTTAAAAATATGGAAAAAGTGTTTGGTGACCTACCGCTAGATCCTGAATTATACAAGGTTAACCCATCTACCTCAGAAAACAAACGAGACATTCAACTACGTGAAATTATTGATAAAAGTAAAATGGAATACATTGTGTCCCATCTAGATGATTTTGAATTGGGAAGTCGATGCATTAACGGGGTTAAGTTGGAAAAGAATGCACAATTAAAATTAATGAAGGATTACTTGTCAAGGGTTAACAAGCGAGGAGAATGTGTAATGAGATATTATCAAAGAAATAGTTTTGGTAGATACTGGACTGGTTAAAAACTATATATTCAAAACATGAGTCGGAAAATCAGATACACCTTGTGTTCAGACATCATATATTACTTTAACATGAAAAATGCTCATCCAACTTTACTGTCATGGTTTTGTTATGAAAATGGAATCGAGTGTAAAGGATTATATGCTTATATTGAACATCGAGAAGAGTACTTAGCTATTTTAATGAAACACACAGGTAAAAAATTGAAAACAACACGTTTATTTATTTCATGCGTCCGAAGCGCTTTTTTGGATTTACCTTCATCAGGAACGCTCAAAGCCAAACATTTGAAATCCGAGGGATGTATAAGTACCGAAACAATTGAGGAGCTATATGACATAAATACCTAAAACAAATAGCCAAATTCATCTAAGGTCAACTGTAAAGACACTTTAGCCATCATTAACGGTAGACGAGAAGCACAATACAAGGATGATCCTGAATGGTACAAATCTTACGGTAATGAGATTAAACACATTACTGAATCCATCATTGCTTTACGATCAGACTTACATAAATTAGCTAAACAATCTAAAGAAAAGAAAGGTAAGAAAGAATACAACATTGGAGGAACTACCGTTAATTACATTATGTGTTCATTAGAAAACAGAGTATTTATGATTGCTTTTGACTACTTAAAAAAACAGAACATTGAAGTAGGTGCTCTTGTGTTTGATGGACTCATGGTTTACCAAAAGGATGTACCAGAAGAAATGCTGCCAGAGTTACTTGAGAAATGTTCTGCAGAAGTAAAAAAAATATGGGATGTGATATTACATTTACTTCCAAAGTTAAGGATGAAGGGTTTGATATACCCCTGGACGCATCAGCAACACAACATGTGAATGTAGAATTGCTTTTGCGAAAAGGTGTATACCCCTTTGCTTATATGGATAGTATCGAGAAAAAAATCAGACCACTAAGTTACCATCTAAGAAAAGGTTTAACAATACTCTCTCTAATGAGGATGTGAGCAAGACAGACTATAATCACGCACAGAGAGACTGGAAAGAAATGGGAATGACCAGTATGAGAGAGTACCATGATCTGTATTTGAAGACGGACGTGCTCCTAGAATGCGTCGTGTTTAAGAAATTCAGAGATCTTTGTTTGAAGATTTATCAACTCGACCCCGCTTGGTATTTAACAGCACCGGGTCTTTCTTATGATATTGAAGATTACCGGTGCAAAGCTTGAGCTTCCGACAGATCCGGATATGTTTTTGATGTATGAACAAGGGATTAAGGGAGGAGTAACTGTCGCAACTCAACGCTATGCCAAAACTAACAATTCATACATTGAAGGATATGATGCTAGCAAACCAACCAATCACTTGATGTACGTGGACGCCAACATCTTGTATGGATGGGCTATGAGTAAGCACTTACCAACCGATGGGTTCACGTGGATCACTCCCGATGAAATTCCAGCCCTGGAGACCCTCACAGCTGAAAGAATCACTTCCTTTTTCACAGCGTTCCATTGGAGGACTGATTATTGGCAAGTGGTAAGACATCATTACTCAACAATTTGCTCCTTAAAGAGGACTGGTTAGATAACGATTGCTTGCACGTGTTTAAAAAGTCATTTCATCAACCCATGTATCAACTGTTGCAACACGCATTGGAAAAGGAATTCACTAAAAAAGACGATCTTTGTTTCTTAAGGCTTACGGAGAATTCTAATCCTTTTTGGTTTAGTGCATTGATCCATATACAGTACTGAGTCCACCGTTGTGTTTTCTTTTCGTCTACCTCCTCATGATGCACGGCTGCAAGTATTGCCCATTTAAAACACTTATCATATCTGTTTTGAACATTAATCACTGCTTTCTTGTCTTTGATCTATTTTGGTAAATCTACATACTGCAAACCAGGTAACGATGTGTGTTTATTGATGTTAAGTTGTAATTTCACGATTTCCTTCAATGTCCACCCATTCTTCTCAGAGGTCTAATCGGCAATCTTTTATCCGATCTTTAGGTCCATCTCTTTCAAAGTTTCAATGAGATCGGTGGCTTCGGTTATAGTTAGGTTTCCCGAATTGAAGTGTCCCTCATTCTCATCGTCCTCTTTACCTGTGAGGTTGATTTTCACGAAAGTACAGTGTACCCACCGATGGGTTCACATGGATCACTCCCAATGAGGTTCCAGCCCTGGAGACCTTCACCGCTGAAAGAATCACTTCCTTTTTCCACATCGTTCGATTAGAGGACTGATTATTGGCAAGTTGTAAGACAACATTACTCAACAATTTGCTCCTTAAAGAGGACTGGTTAGATAACGATTGCTTGCACGTGTTTGGAAAGTCATTTCATCAACCCATGTATCAACTGTTGCAACACGCATTGGAAAAGGAATTCACTAAAAAAGACGATCTTTGTTTCTTAAGGCTTACGGAGAATTCTAATCCTTTTTGGTTTAGTGCATTGATCCATATACAGTACTGAGTCCACCGTTGTGTTTTCTTTTCGTCTACCTCCTCATGATGCACGGCTGCAAGTATTGCCCATTTAAAACACTTATCATATCTGTTTTGAACATTAATCACGGCTTTCTTGTCTTTGATCTATTTTGGTAAATCTACATACTGCAAACCAGGTAACGATGTGTGTTTATTGATGTTAAGTTGTAATTTCACGATTTCCTTCAATGTCCACCCATTCTTCTCAGAGGTCTAATCGGCAATCTTTTATCCGATCTTTAGGTCCATCTCTTTCAAAGTTTCAATGAGATCGGTGGCTTCGGTTATAGTTAGGTTTCCCGAATTGAAGTGTCCCTCATTCTCATCGTCCTCTTTACCTGTGAGGTTGATTTTCACGAAAGTACAGTGTACCCACCGATGGGTTCACATGGATCACTCCCGATGAGATTCCAGCCCTGGAGACCTTCACCGCTGAAAGAATCACTTCCTTTTTCCACATCGTTCGATTAGAGGACTGATTATTGGCAAGTTGTAAGACAACGTTACTCAACAATTTTCTCCTTTAAAAAGAGAACTGGTTAGATTACGATTGTTTGCACGTGTTTGGAAAGTCACTTCATCAACCCATGCATCAACTGTTGCAACACGCATTGGAAAAGGGATTCATTAAAAAAGACATACGATCTTTGTTATCTGTGAAAGGAAAATGTCCTCACTCTTAAATCGATGTTGTAAAAGACTTACTCCCACCTCAACATCCTAGTGGTAACGAGGCCTTCTTTTATGAACAAGGAGACGATATACAAGACCCTCGACAACTGGATTTTCATCGTTACAACTTAGTGGTGTTTTACGCTCAATAGTGTTCAACGTTCAGTGCTCTAAATTAATGACTTTTATTAGCATTAGTGATCCTAAACAACTTGAAGATCTTGCTAAGGAGTTACACGATGTCAAGTGTAACATCCAAGCTAGCAACTTACAAGAACGACTGAATAAACAGGGATTGCGTCGTGATCCTTACAAGTTTTTTTAAACCCGTCGTAGAGGCACAAGAGAAAACGGCTTCTAAAATCACCAAGACGATTGAAAATCTCCCAGCGATCCTACTACTACCTGCATCACCTCCCGAGTTTGCCGATCCATTACCTATCGAACCACGTACAAACATTATTAACGTTGGTCCTCGAGCACAAAAGTATTTACAACTCAGTTTATCGCCAAAGGATGCAGACCACATTTTCTGAATAAGCTTTGAAGACAACAATGGTATTTACATCGGGAATGCACCCGTTACCTTTGAAGGAGATGACATTCTTGTGGATGGAGTACCATACAAAGGACCACTAGAATTGTGGGAACTCATGGTGAAGAAACGTCCTGAAACATATGAACAGGACGACTAAGATGCCTATGATGCTTTCTTTAAAAATACAAATGCATTGTATAAAAATTATGATCCAGCGTCCGCACCTAAATCAAACAAAAGTCTCAAATAGAAAGAAATCGTGACAGACATGTACAAGAAAAATAAGTTTGGTAGTAGACTGGTAGAGTTATGTATTGCTTCTAATCATGCTGGGAACATTGGTGTAAGCAATGACATCGTAGCCATGCGCGATGCTGTGAAAATGCATAGTTTCATTAACAGTAAGAAGAATAAAGAGATTCATCGTAAACTCCTATAAATAAATGTTAATCGTTACGAAAGGATACAAACGTAAATATGCGGTTGTTGTTAGGGGTCTGTTTGACACGATCGCTAATTTATTTGGAGGCGTGTTTACCTATTCTACCGCAAAAACTCTTGGAAGTAAAGCCATAACTGCTGCCACTAATGCAGCATTAAAAGGTATAAAAAAGGAGCTACCTAAGCTGTGGATCATATGATTTGTAGGAAACCAAAAACAAAGACTCCTCATCATCGTTTGAATAACATCATCTGATCCTCTAAAAGCAAAAAGACTCCTCAAGCCCGTTAAAACAACATCATGTCAGGCAGTGGTATTGCAACCATTCACAACTTCGTCAAACGTTATAGATAAATGAGTGATATACTTAGTATCACAGAAAGCTTGTCTTTTGATGAAAGTATTCAGGTATATCAAGTCCATGAATACGAACCTTAAACTTGAGCGTCCTTAAACACTTCAGGTTCTGAAATTAAGAATCAACATTGAAACACAAGATTTGTTAGTTCATCCAGCTGAGAGTTATCTTTTGGTGGAAGGACGACTTCTGAAAAACGACGACACAGCGTATGCCGATGCAGATCTGGTCTCCCTTGTCAACTATGGTATCATATATCTCTTCAAAAGCATCGATTATAAACTATCCGGTCAGCAGATTGAATACCTTAATGATCCAGGTATAGCGACTACTATCTTGGGATTGTTGACGTATCCCGACGACTTAAGGAAATCGCGAGGTCTTAACCAAATGTGGTATAAAGATACTACATCTGACGCCGAGGCTGATAATAATCCAAAGGAAATCTAAACTCAACTGTGGTTTCCGCATGAGGCAGTGCAATTCCATATCTGTTCCCTAAAGTAGTGACCCAAGGGTGATTGGGGAATAGAAGTATGGTCACCATTGATCTTCCTCCGACCGGCAGTAAGATCCTCGCCCAAGTGGGACGTCCGTTTGGCTGTGCGGGTTGTACACATTTGCAGCCACGTGCGGTCAGAATGGGGACGTTAAATCCGATGCCTCGTGTAAAGAGAGTGCCACGCTCTATGCACGTTAAGAACCCTTGCAACAACTCTCTGAGGGGTCCGTAGGTGACCTGTTGCAAGGCTAATTTTCGGTCCCTATCCAATATACCCTCATTTCCCGTGGCAGTCTAAATTTCTCCGACCTTAATCCCGGACGCCTCTATTACAGAACCTACCTATTGTATTTATTGTTAATTTGTTCTCGTCCTGAATATACATGAAATATTTGCCACTGGACGTTAAGCAACCAACAATCAACCCTTGAGTAGAGAATTCACTTGGCGACTCTCTGCCAAGAGTGGACGGGAGAAGCCAAGATACAGCATCGTTGCCTTCTAAACCGATAAGAGTAACAATCAAGAAGAAAACGCAGCCGTGTTTGATCACTGTCGATTACAAAATATCCATGTCACTCTGAATGCTCAACGTTATCCAGCCGTAGACTTTAACACCCTCTCCACCCAGTGTCAAGTATCTAGGGTGTACAAGGAAGTCGCCGATTTTCATAAAACGTTTTTCAACATGGATCATCTCTTTAGCAATAGTAACATCAACCCTTCTGACCTGATAGACCTATACCATCTGTTCGTCATCGATGTGAGTCACCAGTCTGAAAAGTTGAGAGAGTCTGTGGTTGACATTCAAATCAGGGCAGCATTCGGA